TTGAATTTTCTGTTCATCAAAGAATCCTATAAACAAAACGTTTACACAAAAATATGAAGCAGTACAACTGTTTTCAACACTGATAATAATCAGAAATGTTTCTTGAGCAGCAAATCAGCATATCAGAATGATTTCTGAAGATCATGTGACACTGAAGACTGGAGTAATGATGCTGAAAATACAGCTTTGCATCACAGGAATAAATTATATTTTATGATATATTCACATAGATAACAGTTATTTTGAATTGTAATAATATTTCACAATTTTACTGAATTTACTGTATTTTTAATTTAAACAAAATTGGCCTTGGTGAGCAGATTCACACTCTCTCTTACTGGTCATCATCTGTCCTGATGTGCTGCAGCTAATAATAGCATCCATAGAAACTACCGATCCAAGGCACTTCTTCCAGTTCCAAAATGTTAAAAAGCCTTTAAAAAATAAAAATAAATAATAATAATTTAAACAAAAAATCACAGCAGCTCTCAGAGGTAAAACTCGAACGCTTCCTGTCCTTGCTGACTGGAGCATGTGACATGGAAAAACAGCACTTCCTCTTCAGTGTGCACAAGAGTTTTGTGTTTACCTGCTCGATGTCTACAGATCCTCTGGCATTCAAACATTTCATGACATTTTAAAAGTGTCCAGCTAAAAACAGACACTATTAGAAATAAAACTGGTACGTTTGTGTCCAGTGTCCAATCTTTCTAACCAGAAATGATTTGTCAAAATGATTTAAAAATTATGTGTGTGTGAAATATGATAGAATCATTGTAATTAACAAAAGTGAAAAATTATTTCAATATATGCTTAAAAATATATTTTATATATTTTTTTTAAATTATGAAATTATACAAAACTTTTTCTTCTTACTTTCTTTATTGTAAAATATGATTTCAATAGACATGGTTTGTAAAAATTATTTTAGAAGCATTTTTTATCATATAGTAAACAGAGTAGAATAATCTTAATATCTGTGTGAAAATTATTTGCAAAAAATTATGAAATAAAAATAAAATTGTATGAAATTATAAAATAATTCCTTCCTTCCTTCCATAACTGTGGCATTATGCTCCCAAAAAGCATCAAATTAAATGACAATAAAATAACATTAAAAATAAATAAATAAAAATGAAACTAATAAAGTACAGTTGATGTAGCACCTGCAGCAGTTGAGTAACTATCATGAGTGTGAATGCTAATGGACGGCTCTCTGCAGCCGCTCGACTTCATTACACAGCTGACCTCCAGTGCCATGAGCTGCGTTTCCATGTGCTTGAGCCATCACTGCAAAACTGATTACAACAGATTATGATCCATCGTGTACTACTGACCTCCTTTAACAGACCCTTTAGCACCTCAGCGGTGACCTTTCACTCAGCTCACATTCTGTCACATTCACATTCCGTGAGGAAGCTGTCACTGAACATGTCTCAGTCAGTCATGTATTCAACAGAAGCTCACCGCAGTCACACATGCTGTGTCAGTATTTGTGTAGGTAACTAGATGTGTTTATACAGGCCAATGGTGAAAAACAAAGGCTGGAAGTTTGACAAACATCTCATGTGACATGTTTACGGGAAGTCAAGCCAACCTTAAATCCAACAGAAATTTTAAAATCAATTATATTTTCGAATGTGCCAAATGTGACCAAGTTGGTCATGATAATTATGAAGCAAAACATGACAATACATAATCAAAACTATTTCTATTTAAAAATTAAGTTGAATTAAGTTCTATTTAAAAAATTAAGTTAAAAATAATAATTTTGACATAAAAAGTCAACATTATGAGATACTAAATCATAACTGACATAAAAATGTAAAAAAAAATGTAAAAGTCACAATTATGACAAAAAGCAGAAATTAGGAGATAAAAAGTAGAAATTCTGACATAAAAAGCAGAAATTAGGAGACAAAGTTGAAATAATGACAAAAAGCAGACATTAGGAGATAAAACGTAGAAATTAGAACATTAAGTTATAATTATATAAAAATAAAGAAGTATGACAAAAATAAATATTAGGAGATTAAAAACTAGAAATTACAAAAATTTAAAATTATGACAAGAAGGAGAAATTAGGAGATAAAAAGTCATCATGACATAAAAAGTAGAAATTACATATAATTATCAGATAAAAAGTCGCATAAAAAGTATAGAGATTAACAGTCAAATTATGATAGTCATTGATAAAACGTCAAAATTATGATGTAAATAGAAATTAGGAGACAAAAAGTAGAAATTATGATACAAGAAGTCACAATTATCAGATAAAAAGTCAAATAAAAATTTGAAATAGTGATAAACAGTCACAATTATGAGAGTCCTTATGAGATCAAAAATAGCAATTATGAAATAAATAGAAATTAGGAGATAAAAAGTTGAAATTAGGAGACAAAATTGAAATTATGACAAAAAGCAGACATTGGGAGATAAAATGTAGAAATTAGGACATTAAGTTATAATTATTAAAAAATTAAGAATTATGACAAAATCGATATTAGGAGATTAAAAATGAGAAATTATTACAAAAATTCAAATTATTAGGAGATAAAAAGTCATCATTATGACATAAAAAGTAGAAATTACATGTCATAATTATCAGATGAAAAGTCACATATAAAGTATAGAGATTAACAGTCAAATTATGATAGTCATTGAGATAAAACGTCAAAATTATGATGTAAATAGAAATTAGGAGACAAAAAGTAGAAATTATGATATAAGAAGTCACAATTATCAGATAAAAAGTCAAATAAAAATTAGAACTAGTGATAAACAATTATGAGAGTCCTTATGAGATAAAAAATGGCAATTATGAAATAAATAGAAATTAGTAGATAAAAAGTCATATTCATGCCATAAAATGTAGAAATTACGACATAATTATCAGATAGAAAGTCCAATTAAAGTAGAAATAAAGTCAAATTATGATAGTCATTATGAGATAAGTCATAACTGTGTCAAAGCATAACATAATAATACATGACAGTCAAGAAATATTTATTTCTATTTCTTTATTTCAACAAAACAAGAGGCTATACATACATTTAAGAAAGACTGCTTTGCAAAAACATCAAATGGCTCATAGCATCATAAACCAGACCCAGTTCAATATTAACAACAAGACGACATTTGTACAATATAAAATATCTGTAATCTCAAAATAATCTGTGAAACTCGGATAGAAAGAAAACAATTCAGTAGAAAGATAACAGTTTGTTTCTGTGTTTGTAGTGATTAGGCAGTGTGCGCATCTCTGGTTATAACTGAGAGAAAGTGGACTGTTATAATGGTTTGTTTGACCTGCAAACATTTTTCCGTGAACACCTGAGGGACAACAAACATGACCTTACTATAATAATACATATTTCTTGATTGTCCATGAGGTTTTTCGGTATTTCAAGGTGAGTTACACTAAAAGTATGATCCTGACAGCTTTGAAAAACATGAACGTCCTGTGGATTTTGTTTTGATAAAAGAACAACTAGAAGTTCCTTAAGTGAAGAAACCTGAAGAACGTCTCTGAAACACGGGTAGAGGAGGTATATCAGGAACTATATCGATCCATAAAGAGATCATGTGGAAAAATGCAAAGACATCTTTAGTTTTAATAAATGCAAAGTCTGTCCGAGACGTTTAGTACGTTACGAATAAAAGTACTGCCACTGAAAAGATGCAACGAGCAAAAGACTGAACTAAATGTGCGAGGAAAAGTGAGGTAGAAACATGGAGTGTGTAAACCAAAACACTGAATAGAAATAACTTCTAACTAACAGAAGGAAAGCTATTTCTCGCTGGCTTTACCTGGTACAAACGTCCAGATCACAGGAAAAATATCGACTAGCTGCTTATTGTGACCTTACATTGATGTCAGTTCACCTAAAAATGAAAATTTGCTGGAAATGTGCTCACCCTCAGGCCATCCGAGATGTAGATGAGTTTGGATTATTGTGATGTTTTTATCAGCTGTTTGGACTCTCATTCTGACGGCACCCATTCACTGTAGAGGATCCATTGGGGAGCAAGTGATGTAATTTCTCCAAATCTGATGAAGAAATAAACTCATCTACATCTTGGATGACCTGAGGGTGAGTAGATTATCAGCACACTTTTCATTTTGAGGTGAACTATTCCTTTAACCTTTTACATCAGTCTTTATAATTAAACCAAATATTGAACACATTTTCACAAAGGTCTTGATCTGATATCTGGCACATCTCTAAAGTATCTGGTAGTGTGTTTGGGTGAAGTGGATTCAAGCTACAGTGACTCAACGGTGCCCACAGAAACAGAATCATGCAACATTCCGTATGGAATATGAGGCGCTACGTTTCCTAACAATTCAAACCGTTCCATTCCAGCGGAACCAAAACATTCCAGACAATGTGAAAACAATGTCCATTTTTAGAGCGTTTTTTGATGCGAAGAGCCAAAAGGAAATCAGACATTTTGCTACAACAATGTGAAGTCTGTCAGATGAAACAACAAAAGTTAATTGATCCCTCACCAAATTCTATACACAACGTCAACAGTCGAGTCTGCATAGAACATCAAATAATCTCCTGTTCAATGGTATTAGTACGAAAAATAGTCTGCGTTTAGTTTATACCTGACCTGTATCTTGACTAAGAATAGATCATTTGGATTCAAGAAAATTGAATTATTTGACAAAACTTGCAACTGCATTAATGGATCCTGTCAAAAAAAATAAATAAAAAAAATATTTAAAAAAAAATATATATATAGTATATATAATTATTATTCTTTTTTTTTTTTGCAAATGCTCTTAATAGAACTAAACTTTTTAACCAAAATGGTGACATTTCGAATAAAACAAAATTTAAAAAAGCTTTGTTAATAGAACTAAAATTTTAAACCAAAATGGTGACATTTCGAATAAAACAAAATTTAAAAAATCAACAAAAAAAAGAAGAAAAAATTTAAATAATAACGAGAACCAATCCAAACACTTTCTAAAAATGTAAAAAATAAGGCACAAAGGTGATTTATTACTATTTTTTTAAAGAAGTGCTGTAGTTTGGGTCAGAAACATTCGGACCTACAGGAAAGACAGGCCACTATGTACCCAGTCATTCACATTATACCATTCACAGTACGTCTTCATGGTCGTGAGCTTTATAATAACTTCCTTCTCTGTTGTCCTGTAAATATATTCTAGAGCATTCAACAACATTCGATCGATCCTAGTGCTGCATTTAACTATTTACATCTATACTGTCTGGTATACCCCTTGCAGACGAATGGGGCGGTAGGTAGTTTTCACAGAGGTGCAGACCGGATATGTTTGTTTGAGGACGTGTGTCTAAATCTGGCCCAAAACAACAGCACAGTCTCAGCAGAGAACGAGAGGGACGTGAAATCCTTGCTGCTGAGATTTGAGCAGGAAAAATGCTTGGTCAGTTTGGAAGACTTGCATGAGGAATCCGACGCACCTGAGTAGAAATAACCTGCATAGCATTTCCTTGTGAGGGGTTTTAAATATAGATGTCAAGTCATTTGATTTCACTTCTGCTTTTTGGAAGCGGTCACAAAATGCAATTCACAGTTCCAGGATCCGCTGTCCCTTTTTCATTTCCATCGGTCTGCAAACCTGTAGAGAGAGCACAACAAGAGAAACAGTTACTCAACCATACACAGCCATTCCCTATAGAAGATCTTTTCCACCACTTCAAAAAAAATCACGCTTTGATAAATCAAAATCCTAAAAATTAAATCATGACATGCTAAGTCAAAATTCTAAGACAAAAAGTCAAAATTATGACATAAAAAGTAGAAACTCTTTAATGTAATATAATTTTGACATAATTATTACTTAGAATATCATAATTTCATCTTTTTATGTCATAATTTTTACATTTAAGTCATAATTATGACTTTTTAGGTCGCAATTACTATATGAATTTTTATGTCATAATTGTAACTTTATGACAAAAAGTCCATCTTATATTTCGACTTATGTTATAATTGTAACTTTTTAGCTGATAATTTTTTATTTCTCATAATTATGACTTTTATGTCTCATAATTGCTACTTTTTGTCATAATTATGACTTTTTAGGTTGTAATTATTAAGTCATTTGATTTCACTTCTGCTTTTTGGAAGCGGTCACAAAACGCAATTCACAGTTCCAGGATCCGCTGTCCCTTTTTCATTTCCATCGGTTTGCAAACCTGTAGAGAGAGCACAACAAGAGAAACAGTTACTCAACCATACACAGCCATTCCCTATAGAAGATCTTTTCCACCACTTCAAAAAAAATCACGCTTTGATAAATCAAAATCCTAAAAATTAAATCATGACATGCTGTCAAAATTCTAAAACAAAAAGTCAAAATTATGACATAAAAAGTAGAAACTCTTTAATGTAATATAATTTTGACATAATTATTACTTAGAATATCATAATTTCATCTTTTTATGTCATAATTTTTATGTTTACGTCAAAATTATTACTTTTTAGGTCGTAATTACTATATGAATTTTTATGTCATAATTTTAACTTTATGACAAAAAGTCCATCTTATATTTCGACTTATGTTATAATTGTAACTTTTTAGCTGATAATTTTTTTATTTCTCATAATGACTTTTATGTCTCATAATTGCTACTTTTTGTCATAATTATGACTTTTTAGGTTGTAATTATTGCATAGTATCTCATAATTCAAACTTATGCCATAATTTTGACTTTTTTATCTCATGATTTTACCTTTAAGTCATTTTTTTAAGTTGTAATTATCACTTAAAATCTCATTAACTTGACTTTTTATGTCATAATTATGACTTTTTGTCTCATTTGTCTCGTAATTGTAACTTTTTATGTCATAATTATTATGTTTTAATATCATAATTTTAACTTGTGTCAAAATGGACTTTTATATCCCATAATTGCTACTTATCTTAATTAGTACTTTTTAGGTCGTAATTACTATATGACTTTTTGTGTCAATTTTAACTTTTAGTCATACTTATGACAAAAAGTCCATCTTATATTTTGACGTGTTATAATTTTGACTTTTTAGATTATAATTTTTATTTTTCATAATTATGACTTATGTCTGATAATTGTTACTTGTCTTAATTATGACATTTACATCTCATAATTTCTACTTTTTGTCATAATTATGACTTTTTAGGTTGTAATTATTACTTAGTATCTCATAATTCAAACTTATGCCATAATTTTGCCTTTTTTATCACTTAATATCACATTAACTTGACTTTTTATGTCATAATTATGACGTTTTGTCTAATTTATCTCATTACTGTAACTTTTTTTGTCATAATTATTATGTTTTAATCTCATAATTTTAACTTGTGTCAAAATTGACTTTTATATCCCATAATTGCTACTTATCTTAATTATTACTTTTTAGGTCGTAATTACTATATGACCTTTTGTGTCATAATTTTAACTTTTAGTCATACTTATGACAAAAAGTCCATCTTATATTTCGACGTGTTATAATTTTGATTTTTTAGATTATAATTTTTTATTTCTCATAATTATGACTTTTATGTCTGATAATTGTTACTTGTCTTAATTATGACATCTCATAATTTCTACTTTCTGTCACAATTATGACTTTTTAGGTTGTAATTATTACTTAGTATCAGATAATTCAAATTTATGCCATAATTTTGCCTTTTTTTATCTCATAATTTTACCTTCTAAGTCACTATTTTTATTTTTAGGTTGTATTTGTCACTTAATATCACATTAACTTGACTTTTTATGTCATAATTATGACTTTTTGTCTCATTTATCTCATAATTGTAACTTTTTATGTCATAATTATTGTTTTAATCTCATAATTTTAATTTGTGTCAAAATTGCCTTTTATATCCCATAATTGCTACTTATCTTAATTATTACTTTTTAGGTCGTAATTACTATATGACCTTTTGTGTCATAATTTTAACTTTTAGTCATACTTATGACAAAAAGTCCATCTTATATTTCGACGTGTTATAATTTTGATTTTTTAGATTATAATTTTTTATTTCTCATAATTATGACTTTTATGTCTGATAATTGTTACTTGTCTTAATTATGACATCTCATAATTTCTACTTTCTGTCACAATTATGACTTTTTAATTATGACATAAAAAGTAGAAACTCTTTAATGTAATATAATTTTGACTTATAATTATTACTTAGAATATCATAATTTCATCTTTTTATGTCATAATTTTTACATTTAAGTCATAATTATGACTTTTTAGGTCGCAATTACTATATGAATTTTTATGTCATAATTGTAACTTTATGACAAAAAGTCCATCTTATATTTCGACTTATGTTATAATTGTAACTTTTTAGCTGATAATTTTTTATTTCTCATAATTATGACTTTTATGTCTCATAATTGCTACTTTTTGTCATAATTATGACTTTTTAGGTTGTAATTATTACTTAGTATCTCATAATTCAAACTTATGCCATAATTTTGCCTTTTTTATCACTTAATATCACATTAACTTGACTTTTTATGTCATAATTATGACTTTTTGTCTCATTTATCTCATAATTGTAACTTTTTATGTCATAATTATGACTTTTTGTCTCATTTGTCTCGTAATTGTAACTTTTTATGTCATAATTATTATGTTTTAATATCATAATTTTAACTTGTGTCAAAATGGACTTTTATATCCCATAATTGCTACTTATCTTAATTAGTACTTTTTAGGTCGTAATTACTATATGACTTTTTGTGTCAATTTTAACTTTTAGTCATACTTATGACAAAAAGTCCATCTTATATTTTGACGTGTTATAATTTTGACTTTTTAGATTATAATTTTTATTTTTCATAATTATGACTTATGTCTGATAATTGTTACTTGTCTTAATTATGACATTTACATCTCATAATTTCTACTTTTTGTCATAATTATGACTTTTTAGGTTGTAATTATTACTTAGTATCTCATAATTCAAACTTATGCCATAATTTTGCCTTTTTTATCACTTAATATCACATTAACTTGACTTTTTATGTCATAATTATGACGTTTTGTCTAATTTATCTCATTACTGTAACTTTTTTTGTCATAATTATTATGTTTTAATCTCATAATTTTAACTTGTGTCAAAATTGACTTTTATATCCCATAATTGCTACTTATCTTAATTATTACTTTTTAGGTCGTAATTACTATATGACCTTTTGTGTCATAATTTTAACTTTTAGTCATACTTATGACAAAAAGTCCATCTTATATTTCGACGTGTTATAATTTTGATTTTTTAGATTATAATTTTTTATTTCTCATAATTATGACTTTTATGTCTGATAATTGTTACTTGTCTTAATTATGACATCTCATAATTTCTACTTTCTGTCACAATTATGACTTTTTAGGTTGTAATTATTACTTAGTATCAGATAATTCAAATTTATGCCATAATTTTGCCTTTTTTTATCTCATAATTTTACCTTCTAAGTCACTATTTTTATTTTTAGGTTGTATTTGTCACTTAATATCACATTAACTTGACTTTTTATGTCATAATTATGACTTTTTGTCTCATTTATCTCATAATTGTAACTTTTTATGTCATAATTATTGTTTTAATCTCATAATTTTAATTTGTGTCAAAATTGCCTTTTATATCCCATAATTGCTACTTATCTTAATTATGACTTTTATATCTCATAATTTTTATCATTTCTTTCTGTCATAATTATGAATTTTTAGGTTGTAATTATAAATTAGTATCTCATAATTTAGATTTACGTCATAATTTTGTCTTTTTTTAATCTCATAATTTTACCTTTAAAGTCACAATTTTCAAAAAGGTCGTAATTATCCCTTAGTATCTCAATTTTGATTTTTACGATCTTTTTTTATCTCAAAATGTGGACTTTTTATGTCATAGTTACGACTTTTCTATCTCATAATTTCAACTTCTTATATGATCCACGCTCAAGCATACTTTGAAAGGCGTGCATGCTCAGCTGCGTGCGAGACAGACCAGAACTATACAAATGCAATAGTTATATTTAGAAAGCATCATGAATAACTTATTTGAAAACACAATAATTCAGTGAGTCAGTGCGTGACAGGTCAATAGAGAAAAATAAACACACTAGACAGAGCCACACTCATCGTTTACACATGGACACGTTTAAACGCACGTCAGCTGGTTATTGATAATGATCACAGCTGCGATCTGACCTGAACACAATAACAGCGAGGTGCTGATGGAGGTGTGATCTGAGTCAGCAGAATCCCACCACAGTAGCTGAGGTCAATATAAAGCAGCAGAGTAACTGCATGCGGGCTTCCTTCACCACATAACAAACCTGAGAGTGTTTCTATGATGGAGACCATATTCCACTCAAGCACACTCTAATCACAGGCTACATGCCTTGTTGTTCTGCTAGTAACTGTAATCTGAGGTCCATGTGTCGGACAGCTGGCCAGTAAATGATTTACTGATGCAACATCAGATCCGTTCAACATCCTCGGCCAACTATGGCTGTAAGCAATCCAATAATGCCGTCTGTCCAATTGTTTTTCTGAGTTTGCCCTGATCAAATGTACTTTACAGTGATATTTCTCACAGAAGGACTACATAAACAAAATCAGATAAATAGACGCCTTTAGCCTGTTATTGAGACACACTGAAATAAAATGGTGTAGGATTTAGTTGGAAACAATTTTCACACAGAAATTGCTACACTGCAAACAACAACAAAAAAAAAAGTATACTTTACAAAAGTCTTTCTAATCTACCTAATTTCATGTTTAATTTAATTTCAATTACATTTTTTATTTAATTTAATGTTTAATGTGAAAAATAAACATAAAAGTTATTAAAAATAATACAATTAAATATAAATAACTGAACTAATAAATAAATTATTAACAAGTATAATTTGCTATTAGAAAGTAAATTAATAAAATAATTTTATAAAACTATAAAACATCATTACTGATCATTATGACTGAATATAATTAATATAATGTTACACATTACATCACATTGTGGTGTGAACTACAGAAAGTGTGTATTTTAAATAGTTCTTAAATAGTTTTAAAAATAATACAATTTGCCATAAATGATTAATAATAATAATAATAATAATAATAATGGTAAATACATGAAAAATATTGAATAAATAAACAGTAATAAAAATAATAAAATTAAATAAATAAATAAATAAATGTATGCAAAAATATTAAGTAGAAAGACTGAAACAATGTTTTTTTTTGTCAAATGTAATTTGTTTTAATTACAACTTCGAAATTTTTTTTACATTTAACTTATAATTTAACAGTCTGCAAAGGTTTTTTTTTCTTTACTACAAAATTTTATACATGAACTTCATCTGATAGATTAAAAACAACGTTTCACAAACAGTTTAAGCTTAACAATAAAAAAAAGCAGCCTCTGATTAGAAAAATGTGCTAAATAACTGGAAAAAAGCATGTTTTTAGCCCAATTATCAGCTAAAAGTTATTCCTGCTTACATAACAGCCTATAAACACTTGCTCCGGCAAAACCTTCCCAACCAACAATCCTGGAAAACACGCCAAAACCAGCCCCAGCTTTCCCGAAGGAGCCTGAATCTCCACAACGCACATAAACAATGGTAGTTTTGTGCAAGCTATGTGATCCGAAAAGAGACAAATGCGGCGTTAACTTACAAATGATGTGAAAAATCTGACTAATATTGGTGCATTCTAATGCATTTCTTACATTTAGTTTGGTGTATGCCAGCACAGAAGCTGCAGTGTTGAACAGACACGTGCCCACAGGCAGCACGAGGAACACACTGTACTGTATATCCCAGCTGCTGTGAACTCAATGACCCACGCACTAATGACGAGAATCACAGAAACAACACAGACACCATTAGACGGGTTTGTGTTACTGTGTAATAATTATAACAAGTAACAAAGATCATTTGTGGACTTTAATTACAATATACTGATTTGCTGTATAAAACCACTTTGTCTATTCAATGATTTTCGTGCCACAATAATGTATTTGAATTAGCTTCATTTTAAGCTTTTCTTAGTAAATATTGATATATTGACAATTAATTTTGATTAAAGCGATTATTCAGCATATTATTTAATTGATTAAAGTGTTTAATCGATTGACAGCCCTACATTTGACCTAGCTAATAAATGTGGTATTAAAAATAATAAATTTAAATGTAAATAAATTGTATTTACATAATGAAATTAAATAACAACAACAACAATAAATTAAATACAATAAATAAATAAATAAAAAAAACATTAAACAGCACTAAACAAATAAAATATTAAATAAGTAAATTAAAATTTATTAAATATTATAAAACATTATAAATAAAATATATTTAAAATAAAAAGTATCAAGAATAATAACATTACATAAAATACAATAAAGAAATAAATAAAATAATAAAGATAATAAAATTACAAATAAATACATAAATAAAATAATTATATAAAATTACAAAACATTATAAAACATCACTACACATTACATATAAATTACATTATTGTAATGTGAATTACTGAAAGTGAATTAAAAAAAGCTATTAAATAGTATGTAAAAATACTAAAAATAAAAGTATTGAAAATAACACTAAAAATAAATAAACAAACAAATATAAACAATATTACAAATTAAAGTTAAAAATGAATAAAATAAAATAAATACAATTCTAAAACATTATCATTGATAAGAAGGAACATAATTTGCATACTCTTATTTATAACGTGTACTTTTCATTCTCGAGGTGTGAATTACTGAAAATGTGCATTTTTTAATTAAAAAAGGAGATGCAATATCATTACAGCTATATTTAAAATTTGGATTCAGCACATTTGTGATCCTCTGATGGGAGTAACGTACCCAGCACTACACACAGTATATGCACTATATCCGCAGTAGCAATTGAGACGCATGCAGGCTGGCAGGCAAAGAACAAAATGTTCTGAACGTGAGACCAAAGACACCTCAGTGTCTCACAGGCTGCCAAACAGGGGTGTATGGGGTTAGGGAGGGCGGACGGGGGGCTTCTGTGCCCAGCTGAAATAATCTCCTTGTCCCAGTCTAAAAGTCTAAGAGAACGGAAAGAACTCGGGGTGTCAATAAGCAAAAATACCCCCTTTTACCCCCCTAAAACACCAGCCAGACTCGCGGCTCACTCCCAGCCTGCTTGCTTTGACGGATGGCTGCTTCCATTCAGGTCGTCTGGGAGAGGAAGGAGGGTTTGGGCCCTGGTGTGTTGCATAACTTCTCTATATGCTCGCTGAAAGGAGTACACGTGCATGCACACGACCCTAAACCGATCTGACACCAAATAAGCCGTCGTCATTGCATTTCGCTGGAGATGCGTGCTAGTCTGAGCGAGTCTTTGTTTATGAATGTTCTCGCCTCGGGACACCAATCCAGCGTGTTTTGATTAAAATTGTGCTATAAAACGGCTTCTAAAACGCATTTAATTTCCTGTGGCCTTTTGAGTCGAATCTCATCCGATGAAAAATCCATAAAAGAATGCAATAATCTGATGTAACATGAAGCACCTGGTTAGGAGTACGTCATGTAATAAACTCTGACGTTATTGCCTCTGGCTGAGTGCATTCTGCTGCTAAAACGGTGTCGGATCTTGTTAATCAGATCACTCATGGAGCTCAGGTTGTGGCGTCAGAAAAGCAAACAGGCCTGCGAGTTGTGTGATGGGTAGGGCACGGTAGTCTCGCAGGGTATATGCAGCCCCTGAGGCCAAATACGTGGGTTTGATTAGAGAAATACAAAGGTTCTTTCAATTCAAAAAGTATCAGCTGTATGCAAAGTGAGCCACATTTGGTGTTTGACCACTAAAAAAATGTGTAGAATTTAACAATTTACTCTTGGAGCCATATTGAGATCTCAATATCTCTGGAATTGAACCATATAGGGCCGTAAATATGAAGATAACAAAAGAAAAGCTCATTAAAAACCAAAATCTAAAAAGACATTAAGAGATCTCTAATACTTCTTGAGTTACAGCAATGCAAACTTTGGCGGAAAAAAGGGCTTTTTCCCATATTTGAATGGTCACCCTTGGCATATAATGCAACAAAGATGACTAAAGTCAACAGATTTTACTAATAAACCTACCAATCTCTGTGTAAAAATTAAATAATGATGCTGCCATCTTTCCCCAATGTAATTTGGCTCCACATCTGAAAATTTTTGTGGATTACTCTAGTAAATATACATCTATGACACTGAATATTTTGGCTTTTAATCACTATTCATGCTTGTCTTTCTTCAGAAAAAATAAAAAACATTTTAATATGGAAATTTCTGAAATTTGGTTGATTTGACACAGATTGACCCTATTGGGTTTTGGTCGAGGGAACCAAGATGATGCGAACTTACGGGTTGGCCTACAAAAATATGTGAGTTGTATACGCTTAAAGGGGTCATATGATGCTGCTAAAAAGAACATTATTTTGTGTATTTGGTGTAATGAAATGTGTTTATGCGGTTTAAGGTTCAGAAACACATTATATTCCACATACTGTACATTATTGTTTCTCCTCTATGCCCCGCCTTTCTGAAACGCGTCGATTTTTACAAAGCTCATCGGTCTTATGGGATTTAAACTGCACTCTTTTGCTCTTGAATATTTTGATCTGAGGTGAACAAAAACAGTGAATGCAACATCTAAAACGACACTAAAAAACTGCAACCCACCTGAAAAAGTTGCGTGCTTATTTCGGCCAATCGGGTTGGCTTACGCCGCACATGTGACTTGGTCCATTCTAACCTCCAACTGAGACGCATCAGGTCGGTCCTGTGGGTTGACCGCCAACATGTCCTGCAAAAGCCGCTTGACACCTTCAGACATGATGCTCCGGCTCTTCTGTGGGATGTTCAGGACCATCTTCGGGTTCTCCAGCAAGGCCTCGCCCACCGGAACGATCTCGGTCCCCTGGCGAACATATGTGCCGAGGAGCTCTCGCTTGGACTCGGCGTCGATGAATGTGATCCGTTCGATCATGGCCCAAATGATGATGCCGAGCGCAAAAATGTCCGCCTTGGCGGTGTAGTGGCCCTCCCACACCTCCGGCGCCATGTAGAAGTCAGAGCCGCATGCTGACGACAGCCAGAATTTGTTAATGTTCACCATGTTTTTGTTAACCTGGTTGTCTCCTTCGTTCTCCATGCAGCTGAGCCCCGCGCAAACCTTGCTGAGGCCGAAGTCGGAGACCTTGATCACCGGACTGCCGGATTTCTGCGAGATGAGAATGTTGTCTGGTTTGAGGTCTCGGTGGACGATGTTGTTCTTATGGAGGAAGGCCACAGCGCTGGTCATCTGCTTCATGAAAATACGGTTGGTCCGCGGGTCAGGACGCCGGGAGAGGATGTACTGGTTGAGGTCGCCGCCGTCGCAGAACTCCATAACAAACCAAAGATAACACGGTTCCTCTGGGTAGCCCAAGATACGCTCACCTGGAAAGATAGTAGAATGCGGTTAGCATGCATTTTTGAAAGAAGACTCTTGTGCTCACCAAGGCTGCATTTATTTACTTAAAAATACAGCAAAATCAGTAATATTGTGAAATATTATTAAAATTTAAAATCACTGTTTTTTATTTGAATATATTGTAAAATGTAATTTATTTCTGTGATGCAAAGATGCATTTTCAGCATCATTACTCCAGTCTTCAGTGTCACGTGATCATTCTAATATGCTCAAGAAACATTTCTGATCATTATCAGTCAAATTATGTATTATTATGTCAGTCAGAATGGAAAGCAGTTTGAGAGTTGGAGCAAAGATTACAAAGGCAATGTTTTCTTTGTAATAACATACACTGATTAATCATTTAAAAGAAGATCAGAAATGTGCATTAACAAAGTCAATGATAGCATCTAACAGCATCTAATCTTTTTATTTTTTGGTACTCTTGGCCTTTTTCAAATGTAAACACCCAACTTAAATATATTTTTAAAAACATATCGGAGAACAACAGTGCTATTACAGTATCATTGAGATAATATATTATAATTTTATTAACTATATTTTATATTTATAACTTTAATAATATTTTGAATGTATTTTTATTTTATTTCTATTTTTTCCTATCTATATGAAGTTTTAGTCTTTTTTTTGTGCGTTTTTAACATTTTTATTCATTTTTAATTTTTACATTTTAAATGAATATGTAATTTTTATTTCCGTTTCAGTTTTAGTTATTTTAGTACATCAAGTTAAACTAAATAAAAATTAGAAATGTTGCCTTGGCAACTAGTTAAAATAAAATACGTTTATTTTTTATTTTATTGCAGTTTATTTCAATTAATGTTCTTTTTATGGGTTTAGTTTTAATTAACTCTAATAACCCTGGTTAGAACTAACATTTGAGGTAACTGTAAACCACTGTTGGCAAACCAAAGCCATAATCTACTCATGTGCTTCATTGAGTTATTTGTGCCGAGTCAGGAGAAACGGCTCTTTATTGAATGTCGCTGGTCTCTAACTGATAAGCCACTGTTTTGGTCTCATTAACAAACAGACATGGTTGTGTTTGATTAAAGCCAGTCCTGTTCAAACTACAGCGGCTTTACTCTTCATATTCCAAGCCTTAGAACTAAAGTGTTGGTTTAGCTGACTCAGACAGGCTAGCAAAACACCAATCAGACTTTAGCTGAGCAGATTTCCACTGAGCAGCACGTTTGGAGGCCATCCAAAGAACACTGTATGAGCGTAAGAGCTAATCTGCCAGCGTTCTGTGATAAATAACACAGCTTAACTTCAGGAAACAAGGGTTGGGAAATGCATGGAGAACAGGTGGACTGTGACCCATACAAATGCTGTAAGAACTGCTAAACACTTGGGAATGACTGTCTCCCATAATCCTAAAAAAACAGATGTAGGTCATGAAGCTGTATCTCCCAAACTGAGATTATTAAACATCATGACATTTGCAGCCATTTACATTTGAAACAAAAATTACAAATCCACTGGAAAAATTGCAATTGACAAAAAGCCCCAGAGAACTGCATGGTTTGTAAGTTGGAGAACGGTTAATGAATGAATGACTAATAAATAAATACAAGCAATCAAAATAAAACAATTAAGAATTATTAAATACATGGATCTGTTTGTTCTGTAATAAATATAAAATCTTAAAAATAAAATCTTTTAAAAAATTCAACACTTCATGTTAAAACTATATTCAGGGTTCCCATTACCATGGAAATATTGGGGAATTTTAACAATGTAAAAATTTCCAGGACTCGAAAAATCATGGAAAAACACAGATTTTTTTTATTTATTTATGCACCACTCTAAAACATTTAATGAGCTAAAAATTTGGTTTTTGTGATTGCATTTGCAATGACTTAATTTGTTTTTTTTCAAAATAAAAATTTTAAATGAATATTTATCCGGTACCGTGAACATCTGAATGTGTTGTAAAATTATTGAAATATTAACTTAAAATTTCAGGAGTTACTTTAAGTAAATATTTAAGGTCAAAGGGGTTCAGCTGGCAAAGAAGTTTGGGAATCCCTGAGTCGTAAATGTGTAAATGTCCTGTAATAAATAAATAAATAAAAAAACTTCAAAATAAAAATTTAAAATGAATATTTATCCGGTACAGCGAACATCTGAATGTGTTGTAAAATTATTGAAATATTAACTTAAAATTTCAGGAGTTACTTTAAGTAAATATTTAAGGTCAAAGGGGTTCAGCTGGCAAAGAAGTTTGGGAATCCCTGAGTCGTAAATGTGTAAATGTCCTGTAATAAATAAATAAATAAAAAAACTTGGAGAGTTAATGCACCACCCAAAAACATTTAATGAGGCAGAAATTGTTCCTTTTTTTTGGTGATTGCAATGATTTAAAAATTAATCTTTATCCTGTAAATGTGTGCAAAAGTACATAAACTCTGACAGTATATTAATAAATCTACTAGAAACATAATGGAAAAGTGACTAAAATTTTGAAAATTGCACACAATGATCAAGAATAAATATTTTAGGTCAAAGGGATCTGGCTGAAACATTTTTTTTTTGGGGAATTCTTGTTATAAATTAAGCTCCGTAAATGTGTTTATTAGCCAAACTGAACTACTGATCACACAAACACAAAAATCTGGCCTAGTCAGACAAACATACAGAACTACCACATTTTGCTATAAGTTTGATTGCATCATATAATAATTGCTGTTAATAGTGTTCATCGTCTGTTTGATTACGTCTTTAATTGATTTTTTCCGTACATTTCAGCCATATGTACATTAACTGACAGTCACCACTGATAAGCTACCACTACATATTGTAGAAACGTAATTTGCTGTAAAGTTGCTTTGCAACGATTTGTATCGTGAAAAGCGCTATACAAATAAACTTGAATTGAATATGTCAATAATTCCCAAACACATAAAAAAATATATTTGTAGAAGTTGACTCAAAATGCATCAGCAAAATCATTTATATTTAAATCATTTCTAAACAAGCCTGTAATGTGAGGATTATTTCCATTGTGGACCAGGCCACTAAATGGTGACACTTACATAACAGCAGTCAGCACAAAATAGATCCTGCTACTGCTGAGCACAACCACAAATACAGCCCTCACACGACACCACAAACATGCAACAATCTAATCTGATTTTTACAACAGGCCTACAAATGACATGAAAATTACCGCATTATTAAATCTACTAGAAAACCATTGGAAAAAGTGACTCGTGCTTTGAAAATTGCATACAATCATCAAAGTAGATCAGCAGAGGTGAACATCCAAATTGGCCTATATGGGAGTGAAGGGGTTAATGCATGATGGGTGCTGGAACATGATGTTCCCTCACGCACAGTATGCCTTCTCTTCCTACTTGGTGCACGTTTAATGACATGCATTTAAGATGCACAATACTACACATGCAGTGTGGAATGTCACATGTTTACAAAGTTGCATTGCTTTTATGCATCTCAGAATGCATATGTAGGCTACAACAACACAAAACTATCCACTCAGAGAAGTAAATCAGATATCAACCCAGTCACATTATGAATTATGCATTCAGTGCAAATGCTTTCAAACAGCTCCAGCATGTGCTGTCAGCCATGTGGTTGTTCAACTTAACTTACCTTTCAGTGAAGTTTCCACTAATCTCAAATACTGCTTGTTTCGTTTGTTCCCGTGGCTCATTTTCTGGGCCATCTCGTTTCTTTGCAGCACGCACTCCTCCAGCTGCACCACATTCTCATGCTTCTTCTCCAGGCTCGCCAGGGCCCAGAACTCGGCCAGCGCCAGTTCCACTTTCTCGGGCGCGTCGCAGCGGAGCTTCTTCACGGCCACACGGGCTCCGGACCTGCGGGCGATGGCCTCGTACACCACACCGTAGCTCCCGCGACCCACCTCCCGGATCAAGCTATACCTGGGCGTCTTGAAGAACATCGCGGGATGGAGACTGTCACGCTTGTGGAAGCCCGTGGAGAAACAGTCCCCTTCCTCCATGAGCTCCTCCTCATCGTTGGTCTCCACGGGCAGCGGCCGCAGAACTTTACTGACATCCCGCCTCATGTTGGCGTTGGGCGGCTCGGCTCGCTTGCAGCCCCGCCGGAGGCGCGTTATTCTCCCCTGTGTGCCGCTGCGCAGCTCCATGAGTTTATTACCCCCTGTGTTAACATATGTTTCGGGGCAATAATCCTATATCTCATAACGTCCCTGAAAAGCTGCGGGCTGACAGTAGTCGCTTTCGGGGAAACTCGACAGGTTCGTTCGCGTGTTTTTTGTCACTTCCTCTATCAAGCGTCTGACTGACATAAACAATAACAACTTCAACAGGAGAAGGGGCGTGGCATCAGCGGCCTGTTCCATTTCATTCATCAGACGGGGGAGGCGTGTCACAAATCCTAGTTTGAACATCATTTATTCGCACAGTGTTTATTTCAATATACCGATACAAAATTTAATAATATTAAAATTTTCCCCCCCAAAATTAATACACTTCGTAAAGAAGTTAATCTTTCCATCATGCACAAGACTGCCTAGTGTTTTCTGACAACAAAATCTGACAATAATTTGAACCTGATGTTTTTATTTATAGAATTGTACATTTTAATAAGGGCAGCGGGTATGATTGTAAATGGGCTGACATCTGGATAAAATAAAATATAATGTCCGATAAAGTCTATAATATAAAAATGGGAAATAAATACGCAATTCTTATTTTTAGTTATTAAAAAAAGAAAGAAAAATAAATAAAGTTACTATATGTTGTTTATGTGTTAAGAACAATAGCTGTAATACTACGTGGTAAAAGTCATAATTATATTTTTTTATATTTTAAATATAAAATATATTTTTTATATTTCCTCCATAGCCATAATTTTTTTAAGCCATAATTATATTCATTTAAGGAGTGATAGGGGTAGTCTTAATTGTTTTAAATTAGTTTAATTTTATGTTTGTGTTGTTAATGTGTGATGTGTTTTTAAGTATTAATGTGGATGTATTCATGTCCCCAGTGTCAAAGACAAATTTCCGTTCTGTGACAAACAGAATGGACAATAAAGTTAAACTAACTCATATGTTGTTTATGTTTATTGTTGATTCGAAAAAAAATTACAAGCTAGGAAGTACAATAGAATAAACAAAATACATTAATAATAATAATAATAATAATAAATACAATTATATAAATAAAGTTAAATAAAAACATTCAAATGATTACAATTGTTAACACATTTTACAGGTATCGTATTTTTCGATAATTGTTTTTTTAATGAGTTTGGGAACTTCTGTCTTTAAAATAAAAATAAAAAAACAAAGGCTTATTTCCCCTATATTTACATTTCTGTACACTAAATGTAGCTAACAGAAGTAGCAGATTAATTAAATAATAAACGCACCCAGTGTAGGGGATCCCATGGGGGAATGAAGTGGCATATTTGCACTTCAGCAAACATAAACTGATAATAAAAAAATAATGTTTATTATATGAACTGGAGCAGGCGATTGGTGGGAGTTGGCGCGCGCCGCGGTGGTCGTCTCTGCACGTGAGGCGACGCGTGCTCGCAGTCACGCACTTACGGACCGTGACGTCGTCGGGGGGGCGGGGCTGCGTCCATGTGTGTCCACGTTTCTTTGCGCCAGTATATGTTGCTTTGTTTTCTTTGTTTTTGCTATACTCGTTTCATCACAATATGTGTTTGTTCATATACTGATTTATTATAATATATACTAATTAACATGTTTACATGTAATCTGGATTACACCTAATCAGATTCCCAAAAAAATTAGTACATGTAAAATCAAATTACATTTTAAAATACTTGTAATCAGACTGCAGTTACTTTTTTATTGATTACATGATTACATATTATTCACACAATAGGAATAAATTATTCACAATTGATTCTCCCTAATTCCTCTTTTTCACCTTTTAAATATTCCTTTCTCAAATAGCCTGCCGCTTATATACATTCAGAAAGTCTTCCAGGTTTGTGGACATTCACACAAAGACCGGTCACAGGTCACGTGGCTATAATTACACAGAAAACTGAGAGGCCACACAACATTTGACCACTGGATTTACAAAAATCATTTCAGTTTTAAGAAGTGTTTTCTCAACATTTCAACATTGCATCAACTACTGATGAACACATTCATTTTTATTTGAATTATCACACATTCAAATGCACAAATTCAGGTTATGTCTTATTTACATATAATGCAGGGATTCCCAATTTTTTCTCTCTCAGCCAATCTCTTTCACCTAATATATTCATTAGAAGTCCCCCTGAGATTTTAAGGTAATAAGTTAATAATTAAGTATCACATTTGCATGTTCACGGTTCTCTGATGTTGGCTAAAGGTCACATGACACGCAGGTAAACAAATCATTTTTTTAGTAAGTGTTTTATTTTGATAAAAAAAATGATTTATTTTAATTTTACATTTTTATGATTTAATTATTAGCTTCTCATTAAACTCACAAACCCCCTGAAGTTCCTACAAGCCCCAGTTTTGGAAACCTTGATGTAACGCAATGTTTAGTGCACTATGTTAATAACAAGATGTAATATATTTTCTCTTTCTTTGCATTTTATATAAATATCGTACAAGTTTATCCTATTTAAATTAATGTCATAAGTGAGTTAGGTCAAAAGTAATCTAAAAGTAGTCTGATTAAATTACCTGAAATGTGTGATGCAATGGATAACGTTACATTTTTTGTCATGTAATTTGGAATCAGTAACGAATAACAATTTAAGTACTCTACCCAGATCTGTATATAAGCTATATATATACTGAACAAAATTATAAACGCAACACATTTGTTTTTGCCCCCATTTTTCATGAGCTAAACTCAAAGATCTAAGACTTTTTCTATGTACACAAAAGGCCTATTTCTCTCAAATATTGTTCACAAATCTGTCTAAATCTGTGTTAGTGAGCACTTCTCCTTTGCCGAGATAATCCATCCACCTCACAGGTGTGGCAAGGAGAAGTGCTCACTAACACAGATTTAGACAGATTTGTGAACAATATTTGAGAGAAATAGGCCTTTTGTGTACATAGAAAAAGTCTTAGATCTTTGAGTTCAGGTCATGAAAAATGGGGGCAAAAACAAAAGTGTTGCGTTTATAATTTTCTTCAGTGTATATATATTCTGTTACAACAGGCCATTTTTTGAATGTTCTTTTAATGTTCTTGTAAATGAAATGTTAATTAATTGCTTAATATTTAATGTTCGCAGATATAGATGTTAATTGTCTTCTGCATATCAGTTAAATAATTTTTCTCATTTTTTATTTTTTTTGGAAAGTCATCATATGTATATGATTCTAAATCTGATACGATTTATGTTGTTCATGTTGTTACTATTTCTAAAAAGCATTTTCATTTGATTAAAAAATTTATTTTACTTTCTAATTTTATTTAAAATGTATTTTTTTATTTATTTCCAAAGCATTAACAGAAATCTTAATACAATTGCAATTTTTGTCAGTGGATTTTTTATTATTATTATTTTATTTTGTCTCAAGTGTAAATGGCAGCACATTTTATGATGTTTCTCATTCTATCAAAGTTTGGTAATTGGTGCAAGGGTTGCTAAAAGGTGTCCCTTGAACAAATATATAGATTAGTCAAGACTCAACCAGTGATTAGTTTAAGAAAGACTGAAATATGATTTTAGACATCAATAGCTTCTGCAAAGAAAAGAGTCTCTTTTCTCTGTAATTTAGTGTGAAAGTCAAATAGCACCATTATTTAGGTAAAATCGTAACTCTATGTGAGACAAAAGAATTAAATCAATTCCAATGATTTCTCCATTTCTCCAAAGCTGGAGAATAGGCACAAAACCTTCAGAAAGAATATAATGTCTTTCAATAAGCAGCTACATGTAATTGAATTCAAACTGAACTCTTAAGTCAAGCTGAAGAGTTTCCAGCGTTAATTGCTGCCCACTCAACGCCAGAGTTTCAGGCTAAAAGGCCTCTTTGAGACATGACAACAACAAGACGGCTGAAGATCAAATCACATCTGCGCTGGTTTCACATCATTAAATTCTGCCTCTCCTCCTCACGTTTATAAATGATACTGAAACACTTCAGGCTTTTCAGCAATTTGATTACATTTCTCTGTGCCTCACCAGCTAGTTAACCGAACACGATCAATGGCCACTGTCTGTATTTTAGGTCATTTTGACTGCAACTTTCTCTTGACCCTCCATAGCCTCTGTTCTTTCTTACTGTAGGCAGATTTTTTTTTTGCTTATAAGTTTCAGGGTCACAGTAATTTATGACTCACATGCCTCTCTTTCACCGTCATTCTCTTACTTTTACACACAATGCATCATGTCGCCTGGTGTTGCCACGGCAACATGAAGGCCAGCATAAATGTAAAAGCATGTAAGCAGCTTCACAATAACATGCTTGTGTTCGTCTTTGAAAAGGTAAACAGCAGATCTCATATATTAATTATCCACTGATATAATAATATTATCGACTGATTTATTAATAATTCACTAATTAACATACCAGATTTTTAAAAAAATACTAATTTATACATGTGCGTGTGTGTGTGTATCAAAATACATTTACCTTATGTATATATATATATATATGTGTGTGTGTGTGTATGTGTGTGTGTGACGAAGCGTTAGAGAGAGGCGGGGCGGATAGGACCTACAATAATGTACAGTATTTGAAAAATAATGTGTTTTTTGAACATTAAAGCATGTCAGCATATTCTGTTACACCAAATACACAAAATAATGATCTTTTAAAATCATCATATGACCCCTTTAATATAGCAGCTGAGCATCATGTAGGGAAGGATGAGAGCGCTAAAGGTCTATCTGAGTAGACTAACTAATGGAAATCTCTTATGAGATGGCATGAGAAGAACCAAAGAGCAGAGATTTTTAAATGAACACATAAAGAGGCAGCTCTTCTTCGAGCTCTAGCTGATTCAAAAGAGAGAATAAAAAAGATAATATTTTACCCTTTTTAAAACACAGAATCCCTCTCTCGGTAACCATACACATTTGTCAATGCATTGAGATCATTATAAACACATGCTCAAATTATGCTTTCACATCCAGTAAGTCATTTCTCATTAACCTGTGACACCTGCTACCACCAATTAGCCCAAATCACATTAATTATTGGGTTGCATGAACCCTATAAATAAAAATGAAACATTTGTGCTGTTGCAAGAAATGCATTATTATTATTATTTATTACCGTTGTTTTAGATTAACTATTTTTATTTAATAAAGGTTATTGTATATTAATTTGAAATTATTTTCTTTTCTTTTTTTGTGTAT